TACGAAGGATATGCGCCCAGACTGTACGGAATCGTCTTCGCCAGGTTGGATTAAAAGCCAGGAGACCTTAGTTTGGCTACGTCTTACGACGTCTTCAATGCGCCTTCAATGCGTTCGTTGGTAAACTAACGTTCGGTTCTGGAATCTGCGACATTGGAGACGAATATGGTTTAGTGATGAATCACGTTTCCCCTGACAAAGACTGGCTGGCCGAATTCGTGTGTACAGACGTGTCAACGAACGTTTTTCGCCCGTAATTGTGAACGTTAAATGGACAGATTTGGTGGAGGAAGTGTCATGATGTGGGTGGTAATATCCTACACACAACGTACGAGTCTTGTTAACGTACAGTGTAATCTGGCGGCTTTACGTTACAGAGACGACATTACGGCAACGCCTCCTTCCTGTTATTGACTTCAGAAATAGAGGGGGTTATTGTTACTGTGTTATTTTGTGATATTGCAGTAATGTCAAACATGGGACCAGGCTTTGACCTGACTGTTAATATATAGAACACGGGGATCTCGTGTATGTGTATATAGGACAAATGACACATTCCTGTTGATTAATGTTGATTCCTGTTGAGTAATTACAGAGTTCACATTTTATGCTATCGGAGTAGAAACACTTCGTTTCCACTCACGTGGTATGTAGGGTCACGTGGTTACAGGAAGTTCATGAACGTAATGATGGACAACTATCTTTCTGATTTGTCAACCAGTGCCTTCGCGAATATTGACGACTAACATATTGAAGCATTTTCTGATTGAAAAGAGCCAAACCTCAGATTGCTGTTAGCCTAATTTGGAAAACATGGCTGCAACATGCAGTCGTTAACCATATCGCGGCCATATCGACATTATTCCGTCTTAATGTCTATTCGATGTTGAAAGGGAACGCTAAAATATAAAGATTGTGATAGTTTTATGATGGTTGTAATTTACGAAAGAACTGATTTATCCAGAATGGAATATCGAAATGAAATCTTTTGTGAAGCATTTCCAAGGAGAATGTGTCGCTACAGATATATCAATATATAGCGGAATCTGACCTGCGTACATTGCCTTTTACAATGCAATAGTATTGATGTAAATAGCTTTCATACAGCTATTTTCGTAGTGGGTGGCACAATGGTTCGAATGCCTATTGAAGGAGGATATCACAACCTTTATTCATCAAACCAAGTCATATATGTCCATACAGCATTTTATTTAATCGAAAGAGGCCAAACAAATGTGTTTTTGATTACAACGTGATATACTTATATTGAAATACAGAAACCGAAATAGATTGGGTAATGTCATACTGTGCAACGAGTGAGTGAGTGAGTGAGTGAGTGAGTGTGTCGGTGGTATCGGGGACAGTCATTACATAACAATGACGTCAATGTCATATTAGATATTTCCAAAAGACATAGTTCGGAAAATTTAAGAACTGACATCAATATTTGTTTTTGTATTTATGCATGTTAAGTCATTAACATAAAATCTGTAGACAACGATACGAAATTAGTGGCATCGCTCAGGTCACAATTTCAACAACAATTATCCAATCAGAAGAGAGTACGCGAGTGGGAGTGGCCTAATTTGTTTAGGTTTATGATACATAAACAAAGGAAACACTTGGTTCTTCTTCCATGTTCGAGGTGAAATCGTGAAAGATTGTAAACATCTGCTGGTTGTATGTCGTGTTTGGTAGGAGCTGGGTGGGTGAGTGAGTGAGTATGGTTTTACGCCCCATTTAGCAATATTCCAGCAATATCACGGCGGGGGACAACAGAAATGGGCTTCACACATTGTACCCATGTCGGGAATCGAACCCGGGTCTTCGGCGTGACGAGCGAACGCTTTAACCACTCGGCTACCCGACCGCCCCAGGAGCTGGGTAAGAGGCAGGTTTGCCTGAAACTCCTCCAACGAATCAGATATAACGGCTGCCTCCTGAGGTCTCAAAGTCCTTGATTCTGGGTCCTAGTTTCTGGGTCCAATTCTGGGTCCAATTCTGGGTCCACTTCTGGGTCCAATTCTGGGTCCAATTCTGGGTCCTGGATTCTGGGTCCAATTCTGGGTCCTTGTCCTGTAGACGGCCCTTCCCCTCTTGCGGCTGCCTCAGTCTGTGTCCGCCCCTGGTCCTTGGGTTCCCCTGCTGTATAATATCTTTCTGGTTAACTGTCCACTTGTCCGGACTGGACCTCGAAAGATGTAGTTATCCTCTGTTTGGTCCTTCTGTGCTCAAGTGTGTCGCATCCTAGTACATCCAACAGGGCTTTCACGCATCCGGGGTTATTATCAGTGTGGCTGTAACAGGCGAAACAGGATCCACCTCGTTGTACTCGATCCGCCTTGTCGGCATGCGTCGGTGCGGGTCCCAGACTGACGCGGCATATTCCGGCCGGATGAAGATGGTGTGCAGCGATGCTCTCACCGCCGGGTTTACTCCCTCTCAGATTCCTGCACTGGAAACCTGGTGTGGCTATCTGTCAGCTGGTTTATATGTCTCGTCCACGTGAGATCCTCAAAGATGGCGACTCCGAGGTACATACTGCTCCACATTGTCTCCATTGTCTGTATGACCAGTATGATGTCTCTATCGGCCGTCTCTTGCTTGTGATCCGTATGGCATTTTTTCGGATGGAAATCCGTCCGACATCTCCTTTCCAAATGCGACAATGCTGCCAGGTCCTTCTGAAGTATCGCTGCGTCCTTCTCGTGTCTGTCTGCTTGTTGTTTAACGCCGCACCCGCAACATGAAAATAATTATGTCTGGACCAGACAATCCAGTGACTGACATCGTGAGCATCCATCTAAGCATTTCGTATATGATGACATGTATCAACTTTCTCGTTGTGAATGAGGCGGTGTACCATGCTGTGATTGGCAAACAGTCGGATGTCCAATCAAATGCCATGTATTCACTTGGCATTGATGTATAGGAAAATAAAGAAAGAGTCGTGCCGAGCTGTTTTCCAAGGGTATACTTAAAGCTTAAAGCCATGCATTCCAGGACTATCTGAAAATATTATCAAAGAATTTTTATACCTTCCCCATTCCCCATTCAACCATATATGGTCCTTTAAGTCGGTCATTTTGCTCGGTTTCGCAGCCCATGCAAAGTGTAGGCATAATTCAATGTTCCTGAGACATGTCGAGATACGGCTTTCCGGCGTAACTGCTATATATTGCACTAAACCTGGCATTGGTTGTTTCCGGAGGTAAAAATCATAATTTATCCCGATCGGAAGTTTTGTCGACTAATAGCTGTGTTGCTGACAGTCAGCCGTGTGTTCTATTGTATGTATCCAATACCTGGTCAATAACGCCTTCAGTCGAGGAGCGGCACATCTATCGAGGTGATGGAGCAACAATGGTCTCTTGTGGAAACTCTCAACTCCGGTAATCTGCGGCTTGACAGTGGTACACATGCTCTACTTAGAATGTCTATGGGGAGTCTAGTGGGAATTAACAATCCGTGCACTAAATAGATAATTGATTAAAGTAGTCTACAAGATCACCCTGTAAATAGGCGCATCGCACCACTTACATGGAGCTGTCCATCCTGTCTACTCAGAAATACTGAACTACATTTACAGTGTCCAGGGCATAATACGCAAGTGTAAACTACAGTGATAAACTGAAGAACATGCGCAGTGTCTAGGACATAATGCGGAAGTGAACTTCAGTGATAATACTGAAGAACATTGACAGTGAATAGCAAAATGTGCAAGCGTAACTGCAGTGACATACTTTGTGCTTTTTTATTTGGTGTGTTTTGTTTGGTTTTATTTTGTTCTTTTATTTGGTTGGTTGGTTTTGGTTTGGTGTTTGGTGTTTCTTCTTTCTTTTCTTTTTTTTGGTTCCGTTTCTTTTGGTTTCGATTTGTTATTATCATTATCATTTTTTTTGGGGGGGATGGGGGATTGGCGGAGGGGTGGGGGGGTGGGGATATTGTTTGTTTGTTTTTAGGGGTGGGAGTAAGCTGGGAATTGGAGGGGGGTCGCGAAGGGCCAAAGGAAATCGGGGGAGGGTTATTAAAACACATATGCCAGGGAATTTGTTTTATTGTCCGTGCATGCATTCAACAATACAAACAATTGGTTTTAGTTTGAATATATCGGATGTTTTACGTGCATCAGTGAAAAAATGATGTCCGTTGCCTTTCGTATTTTGACTGTAGGATACACTAACCTTTTCGTGCAAACACCTGGAATCATTACTATTTGATAGTGGTTCATAAGCACGAGGAAAAAGAATCGTACAATGAACTCTGAGATTTCTTAGGGTTATGGAAAGGGTTTTCTCGCTTTTTATGGTTATACCATGGGACACTTTTGTCATAGTATTTCTCAGTCAGAATAACCCCCGATGACGATGTTTACAGTGCCAATCGTGAACTTGTGATTATGAAAAGTAAAACTTGGGGAGGGTCAAGATATAAGTGGACAATTACATCTGTATTTAACTGTTTGATTTATTCTAGTTAGAGAGTAATTAACAAAGAGTACAATTTTGTGGAAAACAAGGTCTGATTTATTGCATGTAGCGACGTGTCGATGTAGATTCTTCAACTGATGTCATCACTGATTTTCAGTGGTCCATTCATATTACTTTCACAGCTGTATGCTCTTTGCGCTTAATGAGTGAGTGAGTGAGTGAGTTGGGTTTAACGCCGCTTTTAACAGTATTCCAGTTATACCACGGCGTGTCAGCTTAATGTGGGAGGAAAGCCCGAAGTGATGCAGGTCTCAGACGTTTACCGCTTCGGTGAAACCCACGAGCATGGGTATGGTGCTGACAAACCTAGAAACATAATCGGGGCGAACCGGGATTCGAAACCACAATCGTGGGTTTCTGGCGTGCCCAAGGGACTCAACTCTGCACAGCGAATCGCGGCGCCTGAGACGACTGGGCCACCCGTGCCCCCCTTTGCGCCAAATGTAATCTGTTTCGGTGGATAATCTAGACTGATTGTTCTCTTGCATTGAGCTGTCATTTTTGTTGCAGATTCGACCGATTCTGCAATGGCAGGGACCTGGCACCAGACCCCTATAGACTTCGGTAGCTTCTCGAAACGGAAGGACCCGACTAAGGTCATCCAAGTCTTCATGTTGCCATGGCAATCGGAAAAGTGAATGTCGTCGAGATGATGAAAAGCTGAGCTTTGATTGGTCAAAAGAGACACATGACCCGTTCCCCAGACATGGACCGTCTTTGAAAATGAGAAAACCTTTGCGCGTTGCTTACAACTGAACGGTTGGGTGTGTTAGCGGAGTAGCGAATACTTCAAACTTTATTCCTGGAGGTACCAACACACACTACAGGGCGCTGTCCTTTGCCTACGGGATGAAATACAATGTGTTAAAAGTGTTCTCAAAATATTGTTCACGATACTATCAGCTACAAAATAATCCTTACGTCATGAAACAGGTGCTCAGTCAAGGGGCCACCGTTTAATTATTGATACCCATGAGTTTGTTTACACCATGTAAATCCTAGAACAGTGTTTAGAAAACATGTAATCTAGTCTACGTCTAGTGGTTAGGTTAAGTTCATGCCAGGGGTCACGGCATATAAACAAGAGGCACTATTGTTTCTGTTGTACGTAACCTATAGCACGCCAGCTGAAAATGGATGATAAAATTACATTTTTTATTTATTTTATTATCTGATTGTAATATTACTAGGAATAGAAAACCTCAACTGGTCATTAAAAAATAATTTGGAGCCCAATATCAATATTAGTCAGTGAATGTCATATGGTTGGAGTAGAAATGTTGTTGTTTTTTAATTCTTAATGTATTCGTGTGTTGTTTTGATTTATCATATTACGAAGAGTTTTAATTAAATCTTCTACTTTCAACATTAACAGCAGTCATTGATGTCTGCTTGATTTAAGCTTCATGACAAAATAGCGAGGGCGCGTGGACCCGAATATTTAAAGTGTGTTATACTTGGGAGAATTCGTCAAAATTAATCTTTGTCGGGTTATATATATTGTTGTCAGGGGAACTGTACCGGTTTCGGCTACATTTGAAAACTAGACATGTTCACATCTAGGAAATGTGACACGGCGTGTTCATGGAATGTGTGAGCCCATGTTATAAATACATCTATATTTCTAAACACTTGGTTTCCAATGTTATGCAGCAGAAATGTAATAAAGGTCTATTCTTATTGCACTGAGTGTTTTGTTCTCGATCACCGTACACCCCTACCTGTGTTGGACCATCTCCAGTGGGAAAGACGCGAATCAAGATATTATTCGGCACATTGTACTACGAAAAAATGAGAAAAGAAATATTATTTCTGGTTTCTGGTATTTATTAGCAGACAAAGCGATGGGGGCCCTTTTGGGGCCCTGGTTCTGTATAATTTGAGAAAATTATTTTCATATATTTGAGAACTAGAATAGAATTCTGACAGCAATAAATTAGCAAACGTGATGCTAAAATGTGGCATAAAATCTGATTGGAGAGGTTTCATGAAGCATTAACTGAACATGAGCGAATATTTGACTCAAATTAATTTTCTCAAACATGAAGTGAAATCATCTTGGGTCAAGGACATGGTCATGCGTGTAGAGTGGGACTTGAAGGTTCTCTCATGACCGTTCTTCTGCATACAAATGCAGAGTGTGACAACAAATATCCACAACTACAGTAAACTACCGTTATAACGAACACGCTTATAACGAACTGACGGATATAACGAACTTACTTTTTTGGTCCCGACTATTTGCTGTAGTAGTGGTGTATATATGCTTATAACGAACTACGGTTATAACGAACTAAAATTAGTAGTCCCTTTGAGTTCGTTATAACCGTACTTTACTGTACTTTGATAGGCATCTAGAAGTTGGAATACTAAGTAAGGATAAGAATTTATGGATGAACAACTTCTTACTACAATTAAGAGCGACGTTTCGGTGTAGGTTCTAACGCCGTTATCAAGCAAGTGATGTCAAGCGTCGGTCTTATTTGTAATAAGAAGTTGTTCATCCATAAATTCTTATCCTTACTAAATATCCACAAGACTGTATGACAAGAGCGTGGTTTCACTTTCCAATAGTCAACGTTCAGTTTATGTCGAGCAATATTCCAGCAGCTCCAGCCTTTAGTGTCTTCATCTCACAACTGTTGAGGTACAAACGAACATGGTCTTTCCACGAAGATTTCAAAGAACGTCATACTGCTCTTACATCAGTTAAGGTTTTTCTCAAGCTTTCTGTGGTTACAGCTTTCCCTCACCACGCCGAATGACTGGGTTTGATGCTACACATGGATGCAATGTATTAATCCCATTGAATGAATAAATGCGTTTATTCCGTAAAGGGACCAACGGCCCATTATACAAGGCACATTGGATTAGTCAGTTCACATATACAGAGAGCGCTGATTATTACATCAGGGACCGATTCACAAAAGCGCCCGCGAGCCACGAACAAGCGGTCAACACTCATCGGAGTGCTGAGAAGAATGCACAAAAGGTTACTGAGGCCGGTCAGAACCCACAAACGCCCCGTTGATCGGGTCCCCACACATGTTACACACACTGGCAACAACCAGTCTCACATTGTTACAATGGCATAGTGCTACATAACAGGTACATCTTTAAGAAGAGTGTTCCTTTTTTTGAGAGCGAGAAATACATACTTTAATTTGCAAATCTTTTTATAGCATAGAGGTTGCACCTATATAATTGTTTTAGTTTATCCAGAGTTGGACTTATGCAATAATATTTAGGAAATACCTGTTCCCTTAAATTCGAATAGAATGGACACTCGAGACAAAAGTGGAATTCAGTTTTTATATAATTATATATAGAAAACGGACAAAGACGTTCTGGCTTTGGTATTTGATAATGCCTACCTGCCTCTACCAATAGATTATGATTAGAACAGCTAAGCCCATTTCTGCTGTCATATGAAGCTGAAGCTGTGATGAAGCTGGAGTTGTGCTTAAAGCAGATAAAACCATCTTTACTCACTCACTCACTCACTCACTCACTCACTCACTCTCAACTTCAAACATACACAACCACATCCTTTTTTATACACTGGAGGTTTTAAATAGATGTCGTTTTATAACTAAGGATGTCCTTTCAAAGTTTATAATGTAGACACATGGACGATGCTTCCAAATTGTCCATCAATTCCGTGTTTTGACTTCAACCATTTGTTCCCGTGTTCTTTTCGGAACATTTGACTGCAATTGCATGTGTTTGTGACGGGTGCCACGGGGATGGCATGATCTCGCCTTAGAGTTTGTTTGTTCGTTTGTTTGTTTAATTGAGCAGGCAATCCAGACTCGATTGTTTTACAAACCGCTGTCATTTCACTGGCATTTGCCGAGAGCGGCTTTAAGCACCAAACAAACAAACTATAAGATGCTTCGCTAAAAGATCAGAGGCGCCGCTGTTTGAGTTACGTCATAATAGGCTGACCTCATTGCGCTGTTCAAATTAACTCCCCGTCTCCTAACGTATCCATGGTAATATTCTTGTATCACTACTTAAGTCACATCTTGTATAATCAAACTAAGAAACAGAATTTATTTTGATGGAAAATTGGAAGATAATTCTATGGAATTCTAAATACTAGATATTCATTTGTATTTCAGTGCAGCATCATTTGTCTGACATACTTTACACTCACGCTAACGGCAACGCTGACGGAGGAAAAACACTGGCACGAACAGCTCCGAGCTAGTTCTCTTCATTCGACCATTATGGGGAAACACGTTCTTGTTTCTACATCCGTCGGATTCCGACTTTCTTGTTGTTATGGCCCTACTAGGCTCGGTTTGCCGACAAGTTCGCGGTGTCTCTGTATGTGACAAGTCAACTATATTCTTCTTACCATCTACAGTTTCGAGGGAGCACGATTGGCCGAGTCGTCTAAGGCGCCGTGATTCGCTGTGCAGAGTTGCGTCCCTTGGGCACGCCAGAAACCTATGATTGTGGGTTCGAATCCCGGTTCGCCCCGATTATGTTTCTAGGTTTGTCAGCACCATACCCATGCTCGTGGGTTTCACCGAAGTGGTAAACGTCTGAGACCTGCATCACTTCGGGCTTTCCTCCCACATTAAGCTGACACGCCGCGATATAACTGGAATACTGTTAAAAGCGGCGTTAAAACCAACTCACTCACTCACCCACTCTACATTCGTAATTGTGTCGGTTCCTGTTCAGAAGGAACAAAACATAGGGTTCCTAGGAGGTGTAATGAGGCGAAGTAAGGTGAGATGATGTGAAATGGGTTTAATATCCTATTTATGGTTATTCACGTGTGTGTGTGTGTGTGTGTGTGTGTGTGTGTGTGTGTGTGTGTGTGTGTGTGTGTGCTTGCACTAGTCCGGACTAACGCCGGTTTCATACTGCTAGCCCACTGAGATACCATGCCGCAGTTTAAGATGGATACCCCACTCACACTCAGATTACTGACAGTCCTTGTTTTATCCCCTCAATGCCGAGCGCCAGGCAGCGTAACAACAAGTACCATCTTTAAGAGTCATTGACGGTTAGAGGTTAGACCGGGGTACTCGATTTTCACTCTCAGCTCCTTGTGGAGTGTACAACCCAAGCTGCCTGTGAGGCAGTCACAGTCAACAGTCACATTAACATCTCATCCTACCGGGTACCCACTCACTGCTGAGTGAATAGAGGTTTATTTAGAACAAAGTCACTTACCTAAGGAGACACCACATGTGCTACATGTATTTCAGTGTGGGGCAAGACGGAAGCCCTAGAAACTCTCAGGGGTCACGCTGTCGAACAGGGCCACCCATCCAGCTACTCTGCGCGACCAATGATTCTTAACTTCGACTGATTTATGACATGTACGCTGTACACGGACCCATGTGCCACAACAACGTTCTCTTAACCTTATCAACAACGGCACGATTTCCTCATAAAAACAGGACCCGTGAAGATTCCGGGGTAGAATAGGTCTTCAGCAACCCTTGCTTGCCGTAAAAGGTGACTATGCTTGTCGTAAAAGGCGAATAACGGGATCGGGTGGTCAGGCTCGCTGACATGGTTGATGCATGTCATCGATCCCAATTGCGTGGATCGATACTCATGATATCAATCACTGGATTCCCTGGCCCAGACTCGATTATTTACAGACCGCCGTCATATAGCTGGAATATTGCTGCGTGCGGCGTTAAACACCAAACCAACCAACCAACCAAATCATAAAAATAGTTTGCCCGTGTTAATTCTGCAATGGACCTAAGAGCCAAATCGGAGAAAAGATAATGTTCCAATGTGTAAAAAAATGAACAAAAACATGAAATGGTCGATAAACATATGTAATATCTGTAATAGTTCATGCTACAGTTCCTCGCACCTGGATAGCCAGCAACAAAGGTAATAGCTTGATATCGATGAGGGTAGACGGTGATCCGTGAAGATCCGGGGTAGAATAGGTCTTCAGCAACCAATGCTTGCCGTTAAAGGCGACTATGCTTGTCTAATCGGGTGTTCAGGTTCGCTGATTTGGTTGATACATGTCATCGTATCCCAATTGCGTAGATCGATGCTCATGAAGTCAGTCACTGGATTGTCTGGTCCAGACTCGATATTTACAGACCCCCGTCATATAGCTGGAATATTGCTGAGTGTGGCATAAAACAACAAACAAACAAACAAACGAGAGAGTGGAAGGTACATAGTTTAACGCGGTTTTGAACACTGTCACTATTTCAGTTATATTAGGGGGCACGGGTTGCCCAGTCGTCCAAAGCGCCGCGATTCGCTGTGCAGAGTTGCGTCCCTTGGGCACGCCAGAAACCTATGATTGTGGGTTCGTAGCCCGGTTCGCCCCGATTATGTTTCTAGGTTTGTCAGCACAATACCCGTGCTCGTGGGTTTCACCGAACTGGTAAAAGTCTAAGACCTGCATCACTTCGGACTTTCCTCCCACATTAAGCTGACACGCCGCGATATAACTGGAATATTGTAAACCCAACTCACTCACTCACACTCACTCACTCACTCAAACATGTTTAGGTTTTCACCCAAACAACGAACCGTAATTCGATTTCCACCTATGTAGTGCAGATAGCTTGTCAGTGAGTATCGTTTCGTCTTTTTTAACTTCCCATTTCGTCTTTTTTAACTTCCCATGGTGCATGTCCTTGTCTTTCATTAGCAATACCGATTTTACCTATTGCCTTCC